AGCTGCCTGCTGATTGTCACAGTATGTCAATTCCAGACTGTCAACCCTTGTGCCGTATTGGTGTGGCCATCAGTCACCTGGCTGAGGCAGAGTTTGTCAGGATTCTCCCCAGTACGGTGACTCTTTCCCATTTGTGGCTCTTTCTTCCTCTTTTGCCATTGCCCTGTCACTTTTTCTAACCTGGTGTACATATTTAAAAAATGTCTTTAAAGACTAACGTGGCACAGGGACCCTCTGCTGTGTCTTCTGCCCTTGCCTGTGGTGCCGGGATTGTCACACTGCTCCCATGCCTGCCAAGTTTTTAACCTTCAGCCTTGCCTCTGCCCAAGGATCACCGTGGGACCTGCCCTTGGTGCTGGTTGCAACTCGGGCCATCTTGGAAGAGTTCCTGGACAGTCCCTGAATCCCGGTGGTCATGGGAGCACAACCTCTGGCTGTCAAAGATGAGATGCATCTTCCCCAAGAATGGAGTCCTGAAGCCCTGACTCTCCCACATCCATTGATTGTCCCTACACACTTGCAGTTTGTTCCCTCCTCGCCTGTCACACTCTCTCCTAGAGGTCCCCAGAGGGCTCCTTATGGAGTGAGATCTTCAGGGCTAAGACATGGTCACTCCATCTTTGTCCTCTTCAGCGTCCCTCCAGCAAAGGCTCCATGACTGCCACAAGGCTGTTCTTTCTACAATTTAAATTCCTGCTTCTTTCTTTCCTGTTTGACTCCAAATCACCTTTGGGATGAAATCTGCTCACAGCCAGGCATGGGACCCTTCCCCCTCTGCCTCCCCTGGTGGGTCAAGGGCATCTCAGCATCAAATGTCATTTGGAGATGGCCTTGGATGGACCATGATATCTCCATGTCTTTGGACACTTCTCTGCTGAAACTGTATTGGTTTCACATGGTTGCTGTCACAAACTGCCATAAACTAGGTGGCTTGGAACCATAGAAATTTACAGTCTTACTGCTTTGGAGGCCAGAAATCCCAGCCCAGGATGTCACAGGGCTGCTTCTTCCCAGGGGAGCTTTGCTCTGTGCTCTTCCCCTGGCTCCTGGAGGTGTGGGCAGTTCTTGATGTCCCTTGATTTAAATTTTAGGCTTTAAATTGCATTCCAATGCCTGCCTATCTTCCTGGCAATCTGCCTGTATCCCTGTGTCTTCTATTTATCCTCCAAGGACACTATTGGTTAGTCTTAGGGTCATCCTAGGATGACCTCAACTCAGGGTCCTTAATTTATGCACCTGCAGAGCTCAATTTTCTCTTTTTTCTGAGGCCTGGTTGGATATGAATTTGTGGGGGACATTATTCAAGCGACTACAGATATCCCAGGGGCTGACTATGCTGCTGGGGAAACTGAGGTGGCATCCCTGCAGCACACTCCAAGGGAGGCCTAGTCAGGGTGGGGAGCACATAAGTCTTGGGGTCACACCTGAGAAGGGAACAGCAGGTAGGAGAAGCCAGCTGCCACTGTTCTGAGGAAACCTGTGCATGCTGGGGAGTACTGAGGTAGGGTGACCCCTTAGGCTGTCCTAAATTGGGGGATACAGTGGGTCTTTATACCCCTTCCTTGCTTGGTTCTCACTGCCCTGGCGGGGGTACCCTAAGCTGAGGCTGCTCTTCTATCAAAACCCCTCATCACAGGCCAGCTCAAGAAGCAGCTGATCTGGGAAACAGCCCCTTCTTCCAGGCCGGAGATTCCCATCAGCCATATTTCCTGGGGCCCCAGGACAGCTTCCTCGGAAACTCTTGACCCTCGTGGCCTTCCAGCCTTGGTTTGTCTGAGCAGGTCAGCGTGCTGCCCTCCATTCTGTCAGCTGCCCCCTGGACTCACACCCATGCCCACCAGGCTGTGGCCACGCCTACTCCGGTCTCTGGTCCTGGCCAGGCCACCCAGGTCCACAGCCATGGTTGTGGCAACAACCACAAGGCACACCTGAGGGCCAGCAGGAGGCCGTGACATCTCTGCAGATCAATTTTTTTGCGGAAGCTAGGACTTGCCTTCGCATTGACAGAGACCTGTGGCCAGTGAGAACAGCCTCAGCACCTTCTGACTCGTCGCCACACCTGGAAGGTCTCCTAGAGACACATAAAGGTCCAGCGGGATCGCCCGGCAGCAGGAGCCTCTCTCCTCTCTTCCCGCCTTCTAGGTAGTCCTTGTCCTTGTGGGTGAGGAAAGTTCCTGAGCCCAGGGAACGTCTAGACCCACTCCTTCAGGGATCTGTGCAGTGGGGTGCAGCCCAGCGGTGTCAGCATGTCCTCCTCTCCCTGGACAAGCCCCCATCACTCCTGGTCAGGCTCCCCATGCTGGCCTCTCTGCCTGAGTGAGAGCCCCACAGAGACTGCCCATTGTGTGACAAGGAGAAGCTTGGAGCAGAACCATCTTCCAAGGCCAGCACCTTGCTTCAAACTGGTCGGTCTGCGTCCAGCAGTTAAAGATTTCCTGTGGCCTTTGGGGCCCACGGCTGAGGGCTCGGGGTATCCTCAGCCAGATCTGATTTCCCAAGGACACCAGATTCTTGGTGGATGACAGCCCTGCTAAGTGCTGGTTCTTAGTGCTGGCCATCTCTGTCCCTTTTGGGAGGAATATACAAATAGATGGGGTGACCTCAGAGGCCAGCCCTGTCCCCCTCATCCTCACCCTCCCTGAGGCCCTCCTGTGAGCTGGGCCTTGCCAGGTGTAAGGCACTCAGTGTCCCTTCCGTGCCAGCCCTGCCCTGGCCCATTCTGAAAGCTGTCAAAGCAGGGGCCGAGGGAGTCATGACCCCAGAGCGAGGGAGCAAGTTAAAGGATGGAGGAGGTGGGTACAGAAAACCTGGCAGAGTCAATGCCAACATGGGGACCAAGCCTTGAGGATCCACGAGAAATCCCGGGGCCTGCCCTGTGCCACTTGGGGAAGTGGACAGAGGAAGCCCAGTGCTTGGGTGGCAGCCCGGATGGTGAATTTTGTCACCGATCAGTGGCATTAGAACTGCATAATCACGGTAATGATGATATTATCGGTTCTATGCTTAGCAGAAGGGGCTGGCAGGATGAGAGCTCCCACCACAGACTAAGCAGAGACCTGGCGCAGGGGCCTGGCAGATGCCCTTTCTCATGCTGTCCACTGCACAGCCCTAGGACTTCCGGGTTTTTAACCACACCTTGCAGGGAGGCACTGAAGGCTCAGAGAGGGCTGTCACTTACCTGAGGTCACACACTGGAAGGGCAGATTTTAACCCTGAGTTTTGGAGTCTGTCACTGTCTAGGGTGGCCTCTGCGCCCAGGCGGGCCCCATTCCCAGTCCCCTGTGAGCTCTTGGGCTCCCCTGGGCTCAGGAGGCAGCAGGGGCCTCACCTCACTCCTGGCCGCCTCCCCTCAGCCTGCCCTGGGCCAGTGGTGTGGTAATGCAGGTGCATTATTTGTTCCTTATTTGCAGGTACAGCCCGTGGCCTGTGGGGCTGGAGCTGAGCGGCCACATGGGCCAGTGAGCAGCATCAAGTCCTGGCCTTTGCATCTGTGCCTGTGGGAGTCCCCAGTTTGGAGACAGATCCCCAAGATGAAGCTCAGACCCCACCGGGCTGGCCTCAGCCTCCTGCCCCGAGCACTGTGTCTGGGAGGCCAGGCCCTCGACACCCTTCTATGCTCCCTCCTGGCTGCCTTCTCCACGAGGGCCCCACATAGAGTAGGAGCTGCTAGCCTTGCGCCCTCACTCCTCATGCTCAGGCCTCCCTGGCTCAGCGCCGTGCCCGCCTCGATGGCCTCCGTGGCCAGGAATAACCAACTGACTCAGGCAGTGCAGATGGCCGTGACCCTGCTCTAACGACACTTTCCCTTACAAGGCTACACCTGCCTCCTGGTAACAGGAGGTGACACTCGAGACCACTGTCCCATGTCATTCACTTGTCCCTGCGTTTGTCCACTATGCATTCATGCAGCCAGCTCCTCTGCACATGCATGTGTGCATGAGTGTGTGGGCATGCATGTGTGTGGCTGTTTAGGTGGATAGCTGGGGAGGTCACAGTGAAAAATGACCTCAGACAAGAGCCAGAAGGGGCCAGGCCGGGTACATCTGGAGGAGCAGAGCTGGAGGCCAGGGCTGCAGCCTGGAGGACAAAGTAGGCACCTGAGATGTGAGTGAGGTGCCCTGGAAGGAAGGCTGGTAGTGTTGGGGAGGAGAAAGAGCTGGGGTGGGTGGTGGAGGGCCTTATGCCTCTGGCAGGGCTCTGGCTTTCTCTCTGGGTGCACTTGGTGGTGCGGGGAGGGGCAGTGCAGGGCAGGGCAGAGGGCAGTTCGGTTTGGTTGAGAACTTGCTTGGGACCCAGATTGAAAGGCAGTCCAGGACTCATGCCAGCTCTCTGGCAGACTCTGTCCTGGGCCAGCCCCATCATGTGACCAGACCTAGAGGGTCACGAGTAACTATGCCAGGTCTGCTGCTGGGCAACACCACCAGGTTAGGCCAGGGCTCCAGAGTGACCTCCCTCCTCGGGAATGAAGGAGGGGTGCCAAGCCTGCCTAGTGGAATAATTACCCCTGGTCTCCTGCCTGCTTGCCTGGGGGAACCAGCCAGTACGGGGCTCCTGGCCAGCCTGCCCACTGCACCCACCGTGCCTGCCTGTCTGCCCACCCCGCCAGCTCTGCAGCATTCCTTCCCCAGTAAGGAGCTGACCCCAGGCTGCCAGAAGCCCCTGCCTGTGAGTCACCTGTCCGCCTGCTGCAGGGAGGGGCTGGTCCGGGGCTCGGCTGTAGGGTGGCAACCTCTCCTGGAACTTGGGAGGGATCCTGCTTGGAGAAGAAGAAAAACACTCTGGTTCCTTCACTCAAAGCCGTTGCTAGTGTGGGGTGTATTTCCTTCTCCTCCTTTTACTGCATTTACCTGTGTACATCGTTTTTATAATGATGAAGTCAGAGTGTACTCACCAATTCACAGCCTCAGTAATATTTCCCTTGGGTACATGAGATAGTTTACAGCTTCCCTGAGATACAGCTGATACAGCGCGAATTCTCCCACTGACAGCATAAAATTCAATGGTTTTTAATTTTTATTTAAAAAATTTTAAATTTTTAAATTTAAATTCTAAGTTGGAGACAGATCCCCAAGGTGAAGCTCAGACCACACCGGGCTGGCCTCAGCCTCCTGCCCCGAGCACTGTGTCTGGGAGGCCAGTCCCCTGACACCCTTCCGTGCTCCCTAAGTTGTGACACACCGTTGTCATCTAATTCCAGAGTAGTTTCAGTGTCCCTGAAAGAAATCCTGTGCCTGCCAGCATGGACACCCTTCCCTCCCTTGTCCCAGCCAAACCACCCATCTGCTTCTGGCGTCTACGGATTTGTGTGTTCTGAATACCGGTCTGCATGCCAGTAAGTCCATGCCAAGGTCTTTGGGGACCTCAACATTTTTTGGAATCTCATCTTCATTGGGTGACCATGATTGACGGATATGCCTTGCTTCCTTACTGGATATTTTGGTGGCTTTGGACAGTGAGCCCTAGTCTAAGGCCTGAAGCGGGGGTGATAAAGGCTGAGATGGGTCTGGAGGCCGCCCTCCACCTCCTCACATGGCGCATGCCCTGCAGTGACTTTTTCTCTCTTCTTTGCTAACAAGGGTTTTCCTAGTGTGATCTCTGAGACTTGGCAGGCATTGGCAGGTGGTCACAGACCCTGGGCTGTCTCCCCTCTGGCAGATGTCACTTCGGCTCATTCCTCCTCCTGATCTCTGCAGATGTGGCTGAGACACCCTTCCTGGCGGGACACTGTCCTGAGGATGAGGAGCTGCTGAGTTTGGGTCAAAACATGAGGCCTTGTGCTTAGTGGGAAAATTTATTGCCCGATCACAGGCAAAACAGGACAAACTCTGATTAAGGTCACAAAGGAACAGGAATTCCCAAAATGTTCTCAGCCATGGTCAACCACTAAAGCCACTGTGGATTGTCCCCAAATGCCAGCTCTCTGGGGATTTTGTGGTTGGAGGAAGAGGAGGAATTCTGTGCTGAGGTGGAATCCATACAAACACACCCACAGACTGACACACCCAGGCACAGCAACACCCACAGTTGGGGACCATCTCCTCCATGGAAGCAGGGATGCAATTCCCCCAGCACTCCTGGTTTATCTTGGCAATCTTGGTTTTCCTGTTTCCCACGTGGCCTCTGCATGAGGGACAGATGCAGCCTGGAGTCGGTCCTTCTGTGAAGAGCCCCCGAAGAGCCCCAGAGGGCTGCCTGGCTTGCCTGACTCACCCTGCTGGCCCTGGCCAGACCTGCCAGTGAAGAGCAGAGTTCACCTGCTGCACAGTGGGGATCTTGCCGCCTTCCCTCTATGCGGGTTAGAAGATCCTTTTCCCCAGAGGGTGTTCAGGACGCCAGCCCCTCTGCCTCCACCGCTGTTCCTTATCAGCCAGGCAGCTACCTGGCCCCAGATTCCTCCCAGGCCCCACCCTCCAGGCCATGTGCTCAAGGCTCACAGCCAGGGTATGTGGTGAGTGGACACCCCCAGGGCAAACCCTGAGACACTCAGGGATGTCCCTGTCCACAACTGTGGCGCCAGGGAGATGATAGGACATCTAGGACGCACGTTATCTGGACTGGGGGTGACTGACTTCCTGTCAAAGCCCCTTTTAAAGTCAGAGAATCGCACCCCCCAGAGACGCCACCATAGCCCTTCCTTCTGAGAGTGACAAGACTTATTCTGCATTCTACAGCACTTTCAGAGGAATTTGCATTTTGTCACAGTAAAATCATGACAACTGAGGACTGCTGAATGAGTTTCTGATATACAGACCTTCATCCAGCACCCGTGGACAGGGGTCTTCCAGAGCCTTGCAGAATACAAAGGCAGGAACTCCCACAGGCAGAGAGACCCTCCCACACCAGCCCGGCAGGCTGTGCCAGCCCCAGCTCGGGGTCTGCACCTGATTATTGTGGAGGTGCCTGTCCTCAGCTCCAGCGTGAGTACAGCTTCCCTGCCAGTGCCCACTGCTAGCCAGAAGCCCTGTGAGAAAAACCTCCGTCCCGGAGTCCAGGGACCCAGGGGCCTCGTTCCACCCTCTTCCTGCAGCTGTCCCTGCTCCAGGGGAAGTGAAACAGCCGAGGCCCAGTGGAACAGGTCCGGCTGCACCTGGCAGCCTGTCCAAAAATGCCGCAGCACAGCCCTCCCTGCTGACCTCTGCACACCCTTCCCGGCGCCCTGCCAGGCCTTACTCACCACAGGCAGTGCCAGGGCCTCTCCCGGACACTGGGCGGGGCTGTGGCTCTTGGGCCCGCACCCAGCTGAGCTGTACCCAGGGCAGGCACTGCTCCCTGCTCAGAAGCTGCCTCTTTTACAGCTGGGAGATGCAGCCCAGACACGGAACAGTCCCTGCAGGTTCTCTCGGGGTGGCACTGAAGAGCAGCAGGGATGGGTGTCGAGCAGGTAGAGCAGTTCCATTCCAGTTCTACCGCTTTCCAGCAGTAAAACTTGTGCAAGTCACTGAGCTCCTCAGTGCCTCAGCTTACTGGGGTCCCTTGGAAGGTGCCGCTTGCTATGCCAGACCTTTGCAGGACAGGAACGTGTAGACTCACCTTAGCCTTCTGCCCTGAGTGTGGGTGGCCTCATTCAGTGAAGAGGAGCAGGGTGCAGACTGTGTGTGTGTGTGCACATGCCCATGGGAATGTATCCACTGGCAACCACAGCGTCGCCCAGCAACCTGCTGCCCCAGGCCCTTTGAGCCCTGGGGAGCCCTGAGGGGGTGGGGGTGCCCTGTGGCTAAGGAAACGGGGTGAGGAAGGTGGTGGGAAACACAGGGCAGCCCCAGCACCCCCTCCCCTCCCACAGTTGTTCTGACTGAACCTGCAGGGCCTCGTGGAGTAGTGAAGAAGGCAGAAAGCTTATAGGGGTGGGGAGCAGGGTGGCAGCTGCTTGCTGGCGTCCTGGTAACTCCCTTTCTTTCTGGAGAAATAGAGGCAGTGAGGTATGCAGGGCTCCTCCCTGGGCAGGGGTTGCAGGTAGAAGTCTGGGTGGTGCCGTAACCCAAAGTCTCCTGGCTAATGCCTAAATGTGGGGTAAATAGGTGTGGATATAGGTGTTGCAAGGTGTGGGAACCAGGGACCAGTCTTTTCCTGGAGCCTGGGGATGATCATCCCTGGAGCTTGAGCTGGGACTGCTAGCTCACATGCATACCCTAACTGCTCTGCCCAGGGTGCCTGTGTTTTAGGGATACAATGGTCATTGGAGCACCACCTGGTTTAGCATACAGACATTCTAACCAAAAAGTACAGGATTCCTAGTCTTTCTCCAGGAGTAGCAAATCTAGGGGTGTGGTCTAAGAACTCAGAGAAATAGCCCAGGTGGACTCTGGAGAAGAGGGGGACCTGGGTGGCTGAGGGGAGCAGGAAGAAACACAGTTTTGCTCTCGTGGGCCCCAACGGGCTCCAGCTCAGCAGCAGCCACCCGCTGCGGGCTCGGCTTGCTCAGGCAGGCCCCTGGGAGGAAAGGGGTAAGAAGTCGGCTCTGACTTGATAGCAGGGACCTTGGCGATGGTGATGTTTCTGCTTATCTGCAAACTGAAGGACACACCCCACCAGCCTCAGTAGCTGCTCAAGGCTGCCGGTGACACTGGGGCAGGCCCACCCTGGGACCCCCTGGCTAACTTTGGTGTCCTTGCCTGTAAAGTGGACACAAGAACACCCACACAAGGGTTCTGCTAGAGATAAAGGTGCCCTGGGTGCTGGGTCAGCCCCTGGGAACCTCGGGGCCTTGTAGCTGCTGGTGCTGTGGGAGTTGGGAGTGTAGGTGAGAGGGACTTTACTACATCCTGGTGAGGGAGCCTGGAGCAGTTCCTTGGCCTCCCAGAGCCTCGCTTCCTCATTCTGGAGAATGGGGACAAGAGTACAGCTTCGGGGACGTGACCTGGTCTCGATGCCCGCTCTCCAGGGCGCTCTTTTCTTCCGCCTCCTTCCTCTCCCGTTCCATCCTGCTTTGTCTCTTCTCTTCCCCTTTCACTATCGGTTTCTTTTCTCTGCCACCCACACACACTCAGGAGGCCCTGCTGGCCCTCAGCTCCCCCTGGCACCCAGGGCCACCCTGCTGCTGCCGAGGGGCCGGGCTGCTGTGCTGACATCATGGGGCGTTTATCCTCTGCTCCCTGCCTAACGCAAATTTCACCCTCGTTCTCTCTGAATCAATTTACTTTTATTGCCTCAGCTGCTCAAAAGCAATTTTTCAAGAACAAAAAGGTCAGCACGTCCAAGACTAATCAATTCTCAGAGAGCTCCTGCCGCCGCCAGGGGAGCTGGGGACGCGGCCCCCCTTCCCGCGAGCCCCCTCCCACCAGTCCCATCACTTTTATTGCTTCATGATGCCTGTCATTAGTGGTGTGTTTGAGACGCCCCGTGGTGTTCTTACAACATAAAATCTGGGCGACTTGCGGAGAGGGGGGCGCTGGGCACATTTACAGCCACTCGCCGGCTCCTGGCTGGCTCCGTACAGGAACAGCTGGGCTGATGGAAGGGCAGCGGGGTGGGGAGCATCCAGCCACTTGTGTAAAGCTTGGTAGTGAGTGGGATTCAGGCCCTGGAGTCTCCCCTGCAGCCCGGTCACATGGCTGTAGGCATCGTCAGGTGGTGCCCCTCTAGGAATCTTGCAAGGCTGCCCTGGTCCCCACTGCTGGGGGTGACACATACCTTCCAGGGAGCTCCATTCCTGCTGCCCGCTGTGGTGCTGGGCTCTCACCCTGCATGGCTGCCTGGGTTCCACGGGGAGGACACTGAGGAGCAGCAAGGGGCAGGTGGAGAAGTGGAATGATCACATGACCTGCCTGAAGTCACAGGTGTGGCTGTGCCTAGGGAGAAGCGGTTCACTATCCCAGGCTGGTTCTCCAGCTGTGTTTGTTCCAGGTCACCCTCACCCCAACACCACAGCACCATCAGCTGAAAGGCCCCAAGGCTCCCAGGGGCAGACACCATACTCACACCCCTTAATCCTTAGGACAACCCTCTTCTGGGTGGTCTTATGTCCATTTTACAGACAAGGAAACTGAGGCAGGTGGTGCCCATGTCCACATGGCTGGATGTATGCAATGGGGCTACAGCCCAGATGTCTGCTCTTTGTTCTTTTCTTCTCTCAAAAATGCCTTGGGATGAAGCGTCTGGAACAGGAAACCCACAGATCAGCGCAGGGATTGCAGATAGGTGGGGATGGGGGACACAGGGAGAGGCTGCTAAGGGGGTGGTGTCCCGGGAGATCAGAACACTGCAAGAGCTGGAGGTGACAGCTGCATGGCTTTGTGAATGTGCTGAGTGCTGTGGCACTGTGTCTTTCGGATGGCGAGTTTCATGTCACCTGGACTTGGATAGGTTATTCGGAAAAAAGAAAACCCCAAAAAGCAAACAGCTGAGGATTTCCTACCACCCGTTTGGCAAGAGGCTGGTGTCCAGCTGGCTCTGACGACCCTACAGAGACCGCCAGGCTGCCATCCTAGGGAAGCAGGGCTGGCAGAAGGGTGGCCACTCCCTGAAGTGTTTGGATGTCCCCACTAGCGCTGGCGGCCTCTCCCGGCCACCTTCTGCGAGTGCATGCCCTGAGCACCTGGCTGTGAGCTGTGGCGAGCGCTTGCCCTCTCTGCCTCCCTGCCTCCCGGAGGACTGCAGGACTGCGGGGCAAACTCCTGCCTCTTCGCACCTGGCCTGCGCTTTGGCTCCCTCGGCCCTCAGCCTCCCCTGCTCCCAGCCCCACTCCAAGGCCTGCGCTGAATTCTCCTGACCTCTGGCCTCTCCTTCAGGGCTTCCCCTGTGACCTGCTGAGCGAGGTCCCCAGTTCTCCCACACCATGAGGCTCCCAGAGCTCCCCAGGGTCCTTGCGATTCCAGGGCAGCTTCTGAGAGCCCCAGAGTGGAGGGCAAGCCTTGTTCCTGTCCCCAGGGCAGGGGCCTCTTGCCCCCAGCCCCTACCCTGTGGTTTCTGAGAGCCTCAGGCTGCTTTCTGCCCCAGGACACTGACTGGCCCTAGGGCTTCTCCAGGAGCTGTGAGTGGGCAGTCAGAGGGAAGGGCCACTCTCCAGGGTCCTCCAGGGTCACTTGTGCCTTTGGGTCATTGCTGTCCTAGGTGGGGTGTTTTTTGTCGCTGTTATCTTTAAATTGGGAATTGAACCCAGGACCTTCACATTGAGCCACAGCTCCAGCCAGCCCTTCATTTATTTTATTTTTTGTCCTTTTGAGATAGACTAGCTATGTAGTTCAGGCAGGCCTTGAGCTCACTTTGTAACCCAGACTGGTCTCGAACTCACAACAATCCTCCTGCCTCAGCCTCCTGAGAGCTGAGACTATAGGACTGTGACACCATGCCCGGTTATCAGCCCTTTATTTATTTATTTACTTATTCTTTTTTTATGTTGAGATAAGGTCTCACTAAGTGACTAAATTGCCCAGGCAAAATTTCAGTCCTCCTGCCTCAGCCTTCCAGAGCGCAGGGAATTCTTGTCATGCACTAGTACACCAGAAAAACAGGTTCCATCCACCTACCCCCAACCAGCCAGGAGGAGCGATATACACAAATAGGGTCATGGAGAGGCAGGCCCATTAAGTGGCAGGGACAGTATTCACATACCTGGCCCAGTGACCGTTCATTGTCCCCCCAGCACCCTGGCCTCCAGTCCTCTGAACTCAGCCAGCCTCCCTGCCCTGCCCTTGGGCCCCTGGCCAAGTCTCTCTAACTGCGCCACAACTGCTGAGCGTTCTGAGAAATTCCACCCCGGGGCTTTCTTGGGAAGCTGGGTGAGGCAGGAAGTCCCTGGGGCTGAGGAACCCTGGAGGCCGGTAGCAGGCATGGTGGGGGGCAGGGGTGCTGACCTGTAGGCCCAGCTAGCAGCTGAGGCTCAGTGACCCCTCCACGTGGGCTGGGCTCCCAGCCTTCCCTGTCTACAGAGCGGCCTGCCCAGCTGGGGGCCACAGGGCCCAGCTGCTGTGGTTTGTGGCCCCTGCTGCTGGCTCTGGGGGGCCTTCAGGTCACCATCAGACAGCCGGTGGCCCCTGCACATTGACCTCTATCCCACTTCAGTCTTGCTGGCCTGCCACGTGCAGGAGGTGAGAGTTTCCAACCTAATTTATTTCCTCCAAATTGAATAAAAATATGCATTGGCTTGACATATAAGAATGCATTTTCAAATCTCAACAGTCTGCAGTGCTGTCTCCAGGTGACACATGCAGAAGGGAAACCTGGACTGTCCCTGGGTTGTGGCCAGGGTGGCCTGAGTGGCCTCTGGTGTCTTCTCCTTCAACACCCTCCCCCAGTCCCACTGCTCTTTGGCTCCAGGGCCACGCTACCACATGAACAGACCAATCACAATGGAATCCATTATAGTTCCGAAGTGATCAAATTAAAAAGGGGGGTTAAGGAAGGGGGGGTTCAGGACTCTCGCTGCACCCAGGGGAGCAGTACAATCATCTATTGTGGTGTTAGAAGTCCCCTGCGATAAAGAGCGGTCTGGGAAGGCTGCCTCCCTGGCCGATTGCGAAATGGACTGGAAAGTTCAAGGCCAGGGGAGCCCAGAGCTGTGCTTGGGGACTGGCCCTTTCCAGCCCGGGGGCCTCTGAGCTGACAAACAGGCAGGCCAGGTCCCTGAGTGTCTTCTGAGGGCCCTGGGTGGGGGGCTAGGTCAGGGTCCCCTGCCTTGGCCCTCAGGTCCTGGGGCCTGAGTGCCAAGGTGGCCCTGCTTCTAAAGTAACTGCTGCTTGACAAGGGTACCATGCTCCCCGAGTGTTCCGGTAGAAGGTATCACCCTGCCTCCTCATATAGGCAGAGAAACTGAGGCACAGATGGGAGCGGCCATAGGTATGAGCTGTGGGCCCTG